GTCTGGCCAACATTGGCTCCTCCCTCAAGTTCACATTCGGGTAACTAAGTCGCACTAGCTGGTCGCACGCCACCCACAAGAGCTATATATAAAGAAATAGAAACGAACGAAGCAGCAGGCGACTTAATGTTGTTATATAAACTATATTGTGTGCCATTCATCAACCGTATCACTTGCATATAATCACACACACACACGCACACACACACACACAGAGCCACTCACACACACAGTCACCCACACACATGCAGCAGAAACTGCTATTTTTCTTTTCCTACCTTGAAACTCTTAACATGTTTTTTTCTTATTCATTCGTTTAGATTTTACTTTTTGCCTTTTTGTATATTTTTACATATGAAAACTCTCTGAATCGCTCCAATTCGTTTCTGTGCAACGTTTTGTATTTTTTTTTTTACTGTAGACGTTATTCACCCGCACGATTGTCCCTTAAGAAAGACTTGAAATTGCCCGCCAATATAATAGAAAATATATCAAGCATAAGGTAAGTCAGTCAGCAAAGCTCTTAAAACTTGTACACACACACACACACACACACACACACGCACACACACACACACACCTGCTGCAAATGCTGCTGCTAATTCCATATTGCCTCGAAATTATGCCTACCTGAGCTTAGCTCTTAAATATTGATAATATTTCAAAACGGAAAACTTTCAAAAGGCAGCTCTATAAATCTCTAAAGTGTATATATATATCTATGCTTTGATCGATCTATCTATCTGTCAAGATCTCAGCTAAGTAAACTCCTTCATCTGTCTGTCAATGTCAATGTCAATTTTCTAATCTTCATCTCTATAGGAACTCTGCTAACTACTATAGCAAACTATCTTAAACAAGAAACTTCTCATCTGAGTTTCTATATCTGATTGAAATAAATTACTTTTTGAATTGGCTAACTGATTGTCAATGTAGCTGTTATGGCTCAAGATTGTCGCGCAGCATTTGCCTCTACACACAAAACAATTGAAAACTCTTTATATTCCACTTATGTTCCACTTAAGTTTCACCTTGGATCGGTTACTGCAATACAATACGTTTCGGGTTTTGGGTTGTCCTTTAACTCTGATCTGATCTGATCTGATCGTCGTCGATGTTGTTGATGTTGTTGTTGTTGTTGGTGGCGGGCAATTCAAGGTTTGACACAAGCCACACACCCACACCCACGCCCACACGCACACACACACTTAGTCCCTCACTCACTCACTCACACTGAATGTTTACAATTATTCATATTCGTTCGTACCTAGCCACAACATTCACAGTAAAAACCTCGTTCTCTTCATAACCCACAGCAGCAACCAAAACTCGCTCTCTCTCACTCGCTCACTCAATGCCTGTGCATCTTTCTCACTCACACTCACTCACTCTCTCGCTCTCTCTCTCTCTGTTCTTTCCATAACAGCAGCAGCAACGTTTCCATTTGATTGTTATGTTAGCCAAAGTTAACATCAGTAAAGTTGAAGAGCTAGAAAAGGTGGAGCTTCGAGCATCTGTTAAGATCTATGATCTATCTATGACTCAATCTTAACTATGAAACTCTGTTAAATGAATGAATTTGGCTGCTTTATTGAGGCTTTGCTTCAAAGGAAAGGAAGCTACAAGCCCAAAGTTCTTCGACTGCTGCTGCTGACCTAGTGTTGCTTGTTGTTGTTGTTGTTGTTGTTGTTATCCTTAACCTCTTGTATATATTAACAGTGTGTACTGTAAAAGTGTTTTGGCTTAGAAGATGTTCGAGCATTGTACCTAGTCTCATCCACACTCTTACTCTCTCGGCAGCCCCAGCCTGACGAGCAAGAAGTCCAACGAGCTAATCCAGGGCAGCCTGAGCAGCATTAAGTATGCGGCCAACTCGCTGACGCGCAAATTCGATGAGATCAAGGGCGCCATATCGGCCAATTCGACGCCGGTGAAGACGAATAATGGACATCAGCATCATCATCATCATCATCACCATCATCTGCAGCACCATCACCATCATCATCATCATCAGCAGGAGGCGCTGGCGGGCGGCGAAGACCATGACGCAGCTGGCGGTGCCGATGAGGGCAAACTGAGGCGCGTCTCCAGCGATCTTGACCCTTGGGGCAGGCTCAGCGAGTCGCGCAAGTCGAGCTACAACAATCTGGTGCCCCTGGGCGAGAATAGCTCGAATGCGGCAATGCACTTGCACGCCTTGCCCGTGCTACCCGACAATCTGTACAGCAGCTCAACGGAGGTAAGTGAGTCTTAGCCATGTGCAAACCGAGTAAAACAAAACTTTGGTCTCCTGCAGAGCAACGCGGATCCTGAGTGCGATGTGCTGATCCAGCTGACGACCTGCTCGCAGTGCCACAACTGTTCGGTGCTGGTCTACGACGAGGAGATCATGAGCGGCTGGTCGGCGGAGGACTCCAACTTGAACACCACATGCCATGCGTGCAACAAGCTGACCGTGCCCTTCCTCAGCGTGCAGATCACACGCCTGGAGGCCGCCGAGGCCGACAGCAATGGCGAGTGTCTGGCTGCTGACAAGACCAGCCTGACGGTGCCATATCTGAATCCGCTGGTGCTGCGCAAAGAGTTGGAGAACATACTCACCCAAGAGGGCGACCTGTCGCTCATCAAGCCCAATTTCGTTGAGGAGCATCCGATCATCTACTGGAACCTGTTGTGGCTCATGGAGCGCATCGAGGGCAAGACGCACCTGCCCGAGCTGTGTCTGCCGCCAACGGTGAGTGAGCGAGTCCTTGACATTAATGATGTGGAAGGTAATGTAATTGTCTCCTTTCGGCAGAGCGACGAGGAGCAACTGGATCCACTGACCAAGGTCAAGACCGTACACATACAGTGCCTGTGGGATAATCTAAATTTGCATAGTGAAACTAGCGGCTCGCCCATGTACATTCTCTATCGACAGACACAGCCCACAAGTCCATTGATCAAGGCTTTGCTAACCGACCAGGCGCAGCTTAGCATGAAGTGAGTGAGATGGACTAAGGCGATGGGATTTGTGCTCCAACTAATTCTAACTTCTTTGCCCTTGCAGTGTCATTCAGCAAATCCTTTCAGCGATTCGTTGCAACGATATGGCAACGCCGCTGAAGCGCTTGGCCAACGAACGACACAAGCTGAAGAGCAGCGGCGTGGAGCGCTCGCATTCGTTCTACCGGGATATACTCTTTCTGGCGCTAACGGCCATTGGCCGGGCCAACGTCGACTTGGCCACATTCCATCGCGAATATGCGGCCGTGTTCGACAAGCTGACGGAACGCGAGTGCAACATGTATTATCGCAATCAGGACCTGCCGCCATCGGCGTCCACGATCTTCTGTCGGGCATACTTCAAGCCGTTGCTGCTGCCCTGACGTGCGGCAGGCGAGGAGGCGGAGGACCTGAATGGATGCGACCACAATGTGAAACCCTAAAAGACATGACGACCAAAAAGAAACAAGCAACAAGAAAGCGCTTAACACTACCACATCAATGGACAACAAAAACAAACAGAAACAAAACAAAATCGAGAACTAATTTTGACTTGTAAATGACTTGAACTTAAATCATAAGTACTTAATGTTTAATTTTTGTGTATTTTAATTTGAATTGACATTTTTTTATGTTTTTTTTTTAGCACACAATCGCTCGCTCTCTCTCTCTCTCTCTCTCTAGAGCTTACACACACATACATAAATGACTGGTTTCTAAGACAATACACACACATACATATACACACACACATCAAATGATATATTTGATATACATATTATTATTATATATATATATATATATATATATATATATATATATATTTGTTTTTTATATATTCAAACTCCTGCAACAACTTGACCCTCGACGTATTTGCCTTATTATATATAATATAACGGTACATCCGCACATATAGAGCCCATGTGCGTTCCATCTAAAACTAGTTTTCTATAGCTGTACCATGCATCGATGTACAATGTATTCATGTATGTACATATATGTATCTGGTTCATCATTTCAACTAGCATCGCCTTCAAATTGTGATTTTTATTTCAAAAATATTAATTTCATCGATCGAATGTAGATAGCACATGAAATGGGAATGTCTCGAAAAACCTAGGGGTATATATATTGGAATAGGGTTCCGGGGTTCGACTTAGGGTAACTTGATTTAAATTGGGATGCGAAACTGACGACGACAACGATTAATATTGCAATACAAGGAAATCAGCCTGTTCAACTGAAATTTATATTAAAGATGAAATCTATTAAGGATCACACGCACACCCGTACACCCACACACACACACACACACACACACACTCACAGCGCAACGATAGTAAAGTTTTGAAAAATAAAATCGAAAAACAATAACAAACTCAAGTAACTGTATTTCAGCAATCTTTTTGTCGCTCATATTAAGAAATTGTATATTTAATGTTTAAATTAATTTAAAAATAAAAAAGTTAAAAACCCAAACGGAGTTAAGCATTAAGAGTTTAGAACCTGCTTAGGAGTCGCTACTATAAAAGTGTGTTTCGAACCAGCTAACTCTAAACACATTAGTTCGGAATCTATGGAATATCTTTCACAAGCTCAATTCATATCGGAGTCGAGTTATGTTCTTTAGATAACACACTGAATGTTAAGTATATTGAACCAGTATCTATATCATAGGAAAATATACATCTATATAAAACTGTCTGCTGCGCGAGACTTGATAAGTTCATGGCTTATATAATACTGATTGTACTATATAGTATATATATACGATTATACTTTATAGTTTATATGCATGATATATGATAGTGTCCATAGGTAACAGGCTCTTCTCAATCATTTGACCAAGCCTCAGCTAGACCTTCTGCAATATTTTAGTTCATTTCCATTGCATAACAAAATATTTCCGGGAGTGTTTCGGTTTGCATATAAATATAAATTAGCAACATTTATTTGCAGCAAAGAACATATATAGTAAAGTGAGAAAAAAAAGTTAAATTATATATATATATATATGCCATGCACCTTACGGAGAGCGGCGAGCCGTAAGATAATGCAAAACAAGACAAGCAGATGGATATTGCGTTACTTGGCTTGTGAGATTATTAAGGTACGGCGCAAGGTGCTCGGCTGGTACAGTGAACACTACGGCTAGACAAACTTAGGAGGTAGGCGCGAAAAGCGCGACAATGTTGGATATGGTGCGTCGATAGGTAGGGATTAGCGGATCAGTCGGAAAGCAGCACAACGTCTTCGCTGCAGCTGGGCGGCGGCGGCGAAGCTGGCGTTGGCTTCTGTCTGGTGGGCGAGCCGTTGCTCTTGCGCAGATACTGGCTAATGAGCGCGTTCTTGGTGGCCGCATGGAACTGTTGATCACGCGGCACAGACATGAGCAAATTGCCGCGTTTCTTGATGCTCGTGCCTGGTGCTGTTGCTGTTGGCGTGCCTGTGGATTCATTGGGTTTGCCGGCAGCCGAGTCGTTGGCCTTGCTCACTTTGTCGACGTCTGCTTTGGGTGTGCCGCCCGCGTCAGCTGTCTCGGCAGTCAGCGAGGACTCGCCCAACGATGTGTCCGCCTTGCTGGCTTTCGGCGTAAGCGTGTAGTTCCATTCGTTTTGCAGCGTCAGCTCGTCCAGGTGAAACTTGTGCAGCGTTTCCGCGTTGACCACCCAGCAGAGGCGCTTCTTCGGCTTCTTAGACTTCTTTGCCTCGGTGCCACCGGCCTTCTCGACGGGCTTCCAGGTAGCCAGCTCGTCGAACTTTTCGCGCAGCAGCGTCTTCGACGGCAGCATCATTTGTGACTCCGCCGGAATTTGTGTCTTCAGATACTCCATATACTCGGAGATGAGGAAGATTTTGGCATTGCTGTTGCCGTGTATGAGCCGCACCAGCTGCTGCAGCAGCTGCTCGTCCAGCTGCAGTGTAATTGGCTTAGCTTTGGCCTCCTCGAGCGGCTCCTCCTCGTCGCCGGACTCCTGTGGCGGCTCGAGCGTTAGCGGCTGCAGCTGCCAGCAGCCGTACATATCGATGGTCTGAATGAAGACAGCCGGGAATAGCTCCGACTTGTTGCCGTTCTCGTCGAGCCAGACGGGCCCCAGCAGACGGGGCTTGATCTTCTTGGTCTGTTTCTTCATTTCCTGGGCGAACTCCTGCTGCAGCACCTGCAGCTTTGCCTTCTGCGCCTCGCGTGTATTGCCATCCTCGAGCTCGCCGTCGTTCTGCAGCTCTTCGTCGCTGAGATGGCCATGGGGCACAAACCACTCGTTGTACTCCTCCTCAGACTCCTCCTCGGACTCGCGCTCCTTCTCATCCTCGCTGGCGCTAAGCGACTCTCCGGGCTCCTCCTCTTCCCACTCGCAATCCGAGTCCACCTCATAGTCGAAGTGGCTCTGTTAGATACAAAAATAAATATTTAAGCCTAACCTTTGGAGATAGAGTTCGTAGCATACCTTGTCCTGGCCTAGTGGGTGGCGCGCACTGATCAGTTGGCTGCGCTTGCGCCAGGTGCCGTAGTAGGGCGGGCGACGATTGTCCGCAAAGTGTAAGTACTTGGCACGCATCCATGGCAGTTGCTTGGGCCGCTCCACCACAATGGGCGTGCCCACTGCATTGGCCAGGTCATCTGGAAGGGATGAAGCTATGAAGATACTGGAATGGTCTAGTGGCCATGCACTTACCGATCACCTGGACATCATCATCATCCTCCTCGTCTTTGGAGGATCTCTGCAGTCGGATGTCTCGTTTGCTGGCCTGCGGCTTGTGACTGCCCAAGCTCAGCTCATTCAGATAGAGCTGGGCACGTGTGGGACGCTTGGTGCGTCCAATGCTCGCATTGAGATCCTCCTCATCGTCTTCGTCGTCCGGCACATGGAAGAGCTTGTCCAGCTGTTGGCGCGTGTCGGCGGCGAGTGTGGCGCGTATGACAGGGGCCAGGACCATGTCGTCCTTCACCTGAAAGGGACGAAAGGCGAGCTGCTGGTTGCTAATGTGGCTGGGATCGCTGTCGCAGCTATTCTGCTCCTGCTCCAGCGTGCCGCCGATGGATTGTCTCGGTTGTTTGGGCACAAAGAATTTGCTAAAAGTGGCGGCGGCGCGTTTTTTCTTTAGCTCGGCCTCCTCCTTCTCCTGCTCCTTGCGGCGTCGCTCTTCGTCCTTCTTGCGCTGCACCTCCTCCTTGGCTTCGTTGCGTTTGCGCTTCTCCTCGTTCTCGGCCTGCCGCTTGCGCTCCTTCTCCTCGTTCTCGGCTTGACGCTTACGTTCCTTTTCCTCGCGCTCTTTGCGTCGCAGCTCCTCTTTGTCCTCGCGTTCCTTGCGTCGCTGCTCCTCTTTGACGTCACGTTCCGCCTTCTTCTGCAGCTCGCGCTGCTCCTTTTCCTGCTGCTTAAGGCGGCGCTCTTCCTGCAACTTGCGCTCCTTCTCCTCGCGCGCCTTCCGTCGCTGCTCCATCAGCCGCTGCTGCTTGGGCGTCAGGTTTGACAGCTTAGCCGCCACGGTGGCCGCAGAGCTGGCAGACTTGCTTTCCGCCTCCGGCTCCTTATCTGTCTCTGAGGATTCCTCGTGCTTCTGGGCCTTCTCTTTTTCCGGGGACGTATGGTTCAATGTGTCTGTGTCCACGTCCATATCCATATCGGTGCTGGACTCGTCCGCAGCAGCAGCTGCAGCATCATTAGATTTTAGCTCGTCGTTGCTATCTAGCAGCACCACATCCGAGTCTTCATCCAGCTTGGGCACATCTTCTTCCTTAGATTTTGATTTTGCATTCAACTGCGATTTGGTTTTGAGGTCCTTCTTGGAGTTTGCAGTCGCTGCCACAGTCGGAGTTCTCTCTTGGGCTGCAACGTCTCCCTTGGCCTTTACATCTGTCTTGGCTTTCATTTTCACTACATCCAATTTGGTCTGCCCGGGCGTCTTTACCTTGGGTGATGCCTTCGACTTTACCTCAATCACCTTGGCTCGCTTCTGTGGATTGAGGCTCTCGGCAATAGCCTCAATATCATCGCTGGAGTCACTGCGCTCAACGCTTGACTCCACCTTCGGCTGCTTCGATTGCTTCACTGTCTCCGATTTCCTTAAGGATTTCCGGCGCTTGGCTCGCTTGTTGCTCACCGGCAGCTTGATTTGAATGGGTCCCACATGAGTGACGCCCTCTATGGGCTTTTCCTTCAACTTATTTTCCTTAACATTGCCTTTAACATGCTTATCATCCTGCTTCTGCTCCTGTCCCTGTTCCTCGTCATTGGCATCGTCATCGTCATCATCGTCGTCGTCATCCAGCTCAATGACATCGTCGGCCATGATCTCCGTTGTTTTGGGCTTCTTGCTGGACGCAATGCTCGATGTGCCCAGCTCCAGGTTCTCTTTGCTGTTGGAGCGACGCAGCTGCTCCGTCTCTGCTGCCTTGTCGAGGGCAAAGGACAACTTGCGTTTTCGCGGCGCCACCTCGTCCAAGTCCACATCCAGCTCAACAGCACTGGTTGAGGTGGACGCTGGTGTCGTCGCCGCTGCTGCTGAGCTGCCCTTCGCCACGGGTGCTATCAACTTGAAAGGTAAACGCGTCTGAACAAATTTCTTGCCGCCGCTCCCAGTGTTTCCATTGCGATCCGCTGATTTGGTTGCATTTGCATCTTTTGCGCGAGCCGAGTTTGGTGTTTTCACAACGCCGGCTGGCATTCTAGCTAGCTTGTTGTCGGTTTTTAAAATGTTTTTCTATGTAAATTGCAAATGCAGTTGCCCTTCCCAACGCTTGCCGTCCAGTTTACGCGCGTCACACACACCACACGCACAACAATTGTGAAAAAAGCGCGCCAAGCACAAAACACGCACAGCTGTTTATTGCAGAGTTGCTCTGATAGCGATCAATTCAGTATAAAATAGTTTGTAATAGTTGGCAACGCGTTGGCCAAATGACATACACTTCACATATAGATGGCGTTTAAGAACAGATTTGAAATATTGTTTTTTGTTGTTGTTCTTTTAAATTGTGAAAGTTGGATAAGAAATTATTTATTTTTTATAAAATACAAGCTGTATATGTAGGAGAAGTTTTCAAGCTGAACCATTTTTAATAATTTTTTTATCACATAGCTTATAATAATTTATAATTTTTATGTCGATTTATCTTTTATATCTCTTTTGCTCTTCGCCTCTCTCTCGCTCTCTCTCTCTCTATCTCTCTCTGCCTCTTTTCAATAATCTGTTTAATTTGATTTTCTTTTAATATACTTAGTTCGTTCTGATTTTGTATACAATGTACTAAATGACAATGCTTAAAATTGGGTATACCGGTTTTTTGATCATGCAGAGTATTTATTGATTATCGATAGTAATCGATGGCTCAAATCAGGTTTTCAAACATAACCTAAAAACTGTAAGGGCTAGAAGGAATTCCTAATTCACAGATTATTTAAATACCTTAGAGAGAGGAGTAGAGATTTGTGCTATTTATGTTTATTAAATTCATTAAGAACTAACATCTGGAACATGAATTAACAAGAAGCCTGAAAGGCTTGAGTCAACAGCTCCGCGCTGCGGTCAGGGTATCTGCTAGTCGTGCACTCCCGCCTCTAATGCGCTTCGCAGGCTCTCAATGGTAATTGAATGAAATGTTCGCACATTTTTCTCGATTTTCGCACTTAACTTTGTTAACTGGGTCAACAAATCGCGCACGAGTAACGGTTTATCTGAACCCTTCGCCGATTAATTCAATTAAAGTTTCACGCCGCAACTGATTTGTTGTTTTTCTCTTAATAACTTGGCTGAGCTTCATGAATCTGAGTGTCACTGCTGCCACGCCCACTGCCTGGCAGCGTCCTCTCGCGGTTGCCCTGTTGACAGAGCTGAGCTGAGCTGCGCTGCTTTGTCTCATTATTAATAATTTGTTTAAGCGAAATATGTTGTAAATTGCAACCGATGCACAAGTGTCCTGAACGCCCTCCGCCCCCTTGATTATCTCTAGCTGCGGCTGCGGTTGCTCATCCTTCATCGTTGTCATCGCCCCCCTCAGCTGGCTTGGCTTTAACCCATTTAACTTTCGCCCAAAATCTTAAATCTAATATTGACATGTGTAACAGAAGCGCCGCCCGCTGCGATTGCGGTCGACCGCGCGTCCGCCCAGTCGCTCAGCCGCCCAGCGTCCCAGCGGCGCATCGGCGCATCGGCCTAGTGGCATTAGATTTGGTTGGGCTGGCTCTGATTTGGCAACCTTTAATAATAATGATGATGCTGATGCTGCTGTTGCTGATGATGATAGTAATAATAATAATCAGTTTGCCTTGATGCTAACTCCGTTGGGAGTTGTTAAATGAAAATTCGGTCATGCATGTGAACGAGGGCAGCGAAGGGGAGAGCGACAGAGACAGATAGAGAGAGTGGGTGGGCAGCTGAAGTTGGAGTAGTGGGAGGGTTGCTCGATGTAGGTAATAGAAAATCTATTAGCGCGCACAAAGCGCTAAACTCTCTGGAGAGCAAGCAGGGGGCAGGAGTAGGGCAAACAGACACACTTACATGCATTCATTTATTCATTTCAGCCTTTTGATAACACGCACAGTCGATGCCAATGGCTATGCACAAAAGCGAGCGAGAGGCACAGTAAGCAGGCATGTTTGCCTGTGTTGTTGCTTGAAATTAGAGACCTGTTGGCGTGAAGCGTGCATGACGAACGAACGACTGATTGACTGACAGACAGACACACAGGCAATCTTGCAAGAAAAGTGCATGTGTGTGTAAAGTAGTTTGCACAGTGTGCGATTAGTCATGCGCCTATCGATAGTTAACCCTCTCGCTTTACTCATTTGCATTTCTTGAGTATCGATAGTTGCTGAGAAGAAATGCGATCTCTTGCATAAGTAAAAACTATAAGCTGCATTTGCATTGATTAATATGGGTTTGACTTTTGGGCCTAAAAACACAGTTCTTTAGGGTTGCAGCCGAAGCTGGAATCGATTTTGCAATACAACAAAGAATTTGGCATTTGGAACTTTTTATGTTTTATAATCCATGCCTAATTAATTGGAATTATCAAAGCTAATTGCGTCCTAATTATTTTCAAAGACTTAACAAAATTCGAATGCGACAGTGTGGCTGGCCAAGCCTTGGGCTTGCCCTGTTCCCTGTTCCCTGTTCGATTACCGAACTAAACCCGCGCCACGCCCACTCCGCCCACGCATTCCGCCCCTCTTTATGGCTACAAGCGCAGCGAGTATTGTATTTAAGTAATTGGAGGGTAAAATGTGTTTCCAATTTGTTGTGCGCGTGTGTGCGCGTGTGCGTGTGTGTGTGTGTGTGTGTGTGTGTAGGTGTGTGTATGCGAGCAACAATTTTCGCTACATTTTCGTTGTCCTCTGTACTGAGGGCTTACTTACTGCCAAACAACAACTACAACAACAAGAGCAGTTTCAGTAACAACAGCAACTGGAAGATTGAAAAAAGTATTGAATTACATTTATACAACATTTGGTTGAATAGCTCTTGAGAGGGAGCCCCCTTAATGCTGGCCGTGCGCTGCGGTTTGTGTTTCCTTTTGTTGAGCGCTTGCCGTTGCGTTTTGTGGGTGGTTGGGTGGGCTTTGGATGGCCGCACTTGCCAGTCGGTCTGTCAGTCAGCCAGTCTGTCTGTCCTGCTGTATATTTGTGGCTTCCATGGTGTGTCTACTACTATGCTAGCTACTATGTCAGCAGGCAGCGAGACAACGTTGAAAGGTATTGGCATTTCCCGCAGGAATCGCCATGAAAATTCATTAGTTGCCTTAACTTTTTTTGATGGGTGTGCGCTATTAGACACACACACACATACACACGCACAAATACATATGTATATATAGGTATATATCTGTGTAATATTGCCATATGCACGCACGCACGCATTCAGTGTGTTCCATTCAGAGCTGTTTTTCTCTTTTTGGGATGTGGACTTGCTTTATTATGCCGTTTGAGCCAGAGACAGATACGCATTAAAATTGTAGCAGGGAAATGTGTATGATAAAAGGTAATGTCAAAGGCTGCAGGTACAAAGAAGACCAAGAGAGCGACAGCGAGGGAGGGAGAGAGGTTGACACACTTGCCGCAAACGCAACGTCCTTAGCACAATGCGACCATTGTCTCGCTTACCGGATATTTCGTAGAAAACGCATTTCCCACACTTTTCACTCGTCGAACCTCGACCTGTTCTCCGTTGTCTGTGGCTGTCCACGTTGCCCACGCTTTGATCTGTCGACCTGTCGATCGACAGTCATAAATAGCTGTCACATACAATTGCCTTCGTCTTGGCCAGTGGCAGCATCAGCATCAGCATCAGCATCAGCATCTGGCTCTGTAAGCTTCATTGCAGCAAATTAGCTTGATTCCACTTTTGATGCCATGATCAAGCAGTTTCCACAGCTTCCGATCTTCTGGTTCGTAGTTCAAGTCATGCTCACAAATTGCTCAAAGTTGCTTGTCACAGCGCCAAGTCCGATCGCTGTGTTAACCCCTTTCTCAGTGGCTCCAAATGTGTAGCACAGTTTTAGGGGCATGCACTATAGAGAGCCTACAGCTCCATTTCAGGAACCATATACAACTGGAAACAGCTCAGTTCTTGTTGACAAAGGTTCAACATAAGTTTCTAGATGTCTCGCGAAAGGATATCCCAGACGAGTTCGTCTCCTTAAGAAACCTAGCATAGCTCTAGGAATACTTGCGATTGATCATTGAATTACTTTATTATATAATGAAGTTCGGAATAATATACGTTAGTTAAAGCATTTCGGACACATTCTTCGATTCGAAAGTCTACCATATCTATAGAGTATATATAGCAAAGTCGGAAGTCTTCGTCAGTTGGCATCGTTTAACGACTCAGATCAAAGATCGTGCGGCATAGCCAGACTTGAACTACATTTGAGCCCAATTAGTTGGGCCTAATCTATTTTGGTCGACTTCCTATGGCTTGGAATTGTTCCCTCTGGTCGGCAACTATCAAAACAAACTGCATTATGGCATATGCTCTATATAGAGACAATGCGAGAGATGCGTAACGAAATGTGTTTTGATTTCGAATTGTGAATTGTTTTACCCAAATAGCAAGAGAATTGAAGGAGAGCAATTGCTATGCATGAAATTAATGTACTGCACAGAAGGAGCGAACAACAATAGAGTGTGTGAGCGAGAGAGAAACAAGGAGAGTGAAAGAGAGAGGGAGACAATCAGTGCCTCAGAGCCTGAATCGATGTTCGCAAGGGGATGGGAAAGGCCACAGGAAGTCAAAGTGTCAGCCGATGTCGCTGTCGATCGCTGCTAGGCGGAAATGCGGCTAATTTGCGCCCCTCCTTCTCCTACTCCTCCTCCTCCTCCTCCGGCTCATTCTACTTCTTCGGGTCCTGCGCCGCAGCTACTGTTCCGTGTGCCCTTTGGTTGCTCAGCTTGCCGTCTCTGTTGCCTGTTTCAATAGTAGTTGTTTGTTATTGTTGCTGTTGCTGTTGCTGTTGCTGTTGCTGTTCGGCTCTGTGCGAAATTATTAATTTACGAGCTGTCAACAGTTATTGTTTGACGGGTCCGTGTTTACATCCAGCGGGCCGAAGGTTTCTATCGTTAATACCTTTGACAAATTTAGTTTCCATTCACTTTGTAGCCCCTGCCTAATGCCTTTGTGCCGTCTGCCCCTGCCCCTGCCCCTGCCCCGACCCCTGTCTGGGCAGCGGTGACGAGCATCATCAGGCAATTATTCTCGATTAGCCAATATCATGATGTCGACAGTTTCTCTCCATATCACGATTGCTGACCAGCTCTCTAGCGCTGGCTCTAGCGCTTGTTTCGAGTTCTACGCAATTAACGCGATGACTTGGTTAA